AGAAATTATTTGTAAGGGAAAGGAATGGTGTAGGAGGAGGAGGATGAGGAGGAGGAGGAGGACCATGAGGAGGCAAATGGGGGCGCGGACATTCGCTGGCTCGCAGATTCCCGGACATCCGCCGCGCGCTGGAGCAGCGCGAGATGCTGCTCACTGCCAAGGACGGCGCGGCCGCCGCTCTCGCCCACCGCCCAGGGGCAACGTTAAGGGAGGATCGATAGGCTCAGGGGGTAAAGGATGATGATGATGATGATGGTGATGATGATGATGATGATGATGATGATGAGGAGGAGGAGGAGGAGGAGGAGGAGGAGGAGGAGGATGATGATGATGATGATGATGAGGATGATGAGGATGATGAGGATGATGAGGATGATGATGATGATGATGATGATGAGGATGATGAGGATGATGAGGATGATGAGGATGATGAGGATGATGAGGATGATGATGAGGAGGAGGAGGAGGAGGAGGAGGAGGAGGATCAGGAGGAGGAGGAGGAGGAGGAGGAGGAGGAGGAACAGGAGGAGGGGTCACACTGGCCCGTGGGATGGAAAGCTCCCTCATCCAGGGAGGCAGCCATCTCAGGAGCCACGTTCTAGACGGGTTCGAGGTTCGAGGTTTTCAGACGTTTTCGTCGAGTCTCGTCGGCGTGCCAGCCTCGGGGTGCTCTCCAGCGGCTGCGCCTCGCCGAGGGCCTTCCAGGGGCGCCCAGATCGTCCTGAGCTGCCGCCGGAGGCCCGACGTGTGCCCCGAAAACCACCCGGGACGCTCTTGTCAGGGGTAACGTCGGGGGGAGCGGCTCAGGGGGGAGGACAGCGACCCCCCGTCGCCCAATCATCACTTGAGCAGTGGCGAAGCGTCCTGGCTCGCCTACAGGTCCACCAAGACATGTTCTAAGAGCACGTTGTCGTCTGCAAGAACTGTGCTCATAACATTTCTGGCTGAGACCGTCCTGTTTTCACGCATCGGGCTCATGTTCTAAGAACATTGTTTTTGTTCTTAGAACATTTTTGGGTTCTACAGAACATATCGTGGTAGGTCTGTAGGAATGCAGGGACGGTCGGTCCCTGCTCGAATCATCGCCAGGGGCCTGCTACCCGGCCCCGCCCAGGGTGCGTACGGTTTCGCCATCGGCGACGTGCCGCCGATGCCGGCTCGAGGTTTCCCCTTGATGGGCTTGTTTTCCAGTACGACCACAACAAACAGGAGGGGGGGAGGGGGTCCTCTTCCTCCTCCTCCTCCTCCTCCTCCTCCTCCTCCGTCCTCCTTTCCTCCTCTCCTCCTCCTTCCCCTCCTCCTCTTCCTCCTCCTCTCCACCTGCGCCCCTTCCCCTCTTACTTGTGGTGGTGACAGTGGAAAACGGGCCCACCACCACGCGCATCGGTGCCGATCCCCCGCAGATCGAGGCACAGCCAGCGCCGCCCAGATACTCTGGGCCTCCCGAGCGGGTTCGGAGCAGGCGGGCTCGGAGGATCACGCCGACTCGCCAATGCATCGAAGATGCGGCTCGGCGCGGAGTTCGGTCTTCTCTACGCCGGCGGTCGCCGACGTCGCCAATGTATCGGCGAGGCATCGGGGATGCATCGGCGATGCGGCGCGATCCTCCGACCCCATTTACTCGGACCATGTCTAGGAGGCCTCCAGATAAGACATCGGACGGGGCTAGGACCAAGATGAGCCCTTTCCAGAGCGTCCTGGAACGCTCTCAGCGAGCGTTCCAGAAGGCTCTGGGAAAACCGTGGCGCCCGAGACGTCGTCCATAGCCGTCGGATCTCAGAGATTCTCCATCTATCCTCACTGGATTTCATCCTCGTCCTGGCTTCGTCTTGAGTCAGCAGGGGAAAAACACACAGACAAAATTACTCGTCGACTCCAAGGAAGATCTGGGAAAATATCGGCAGGGGGGGGGCAAAGCCTAGAAAATATAGGAAAATATCGGGAATCCTGTGATTTGTGTGTATTTGTTTGTGTGTCCCAGGGCCCGTTGTGGAGGCTCCCAGCGCCCCCGCCGCCGCCGGCCGCGCGGCCGCCCGCCCCGCGCGCCGCGGCGGGAGGCCGAAGGATCGCTCGCCTGAGGATCGAGGTTCGACGTTCGAGCGTCGAGGCTCGCCGTTCGATGGTTAAAAAAACGAGGATCGAGGTTCGACTTTCCAGGATCAAGGTTCTGGGCGTTCCCCCCCCCCCCCTGTGCTTCGGGGAGGCTGGCTTCTAGACGTCACGGCCATATTCCCCCTTGAGGTTCTGGTCAGTAGAAGTAGTCGTAATCGTAGTCGTAGTCATAGTAGTAGTAGTAGTAGTAGTAGTAGTAGTAGTAGTAGTAGTAGTAGTAGTAGTAGTAGTAGTAGTAGTAGTAGTAGTACTAGTAGTAGTAGTAGTAGTAGTAGTAGTAGTAGTAGTAGTAGTAGTAGTAGTAGTAGTAGTAGTAGTAGTAGTAGTAGTAGTAGTAGTCATAGTTCTTCTAGTGGTAGTGGTAGTGGTAGTGGTAATGGTAGTGGTA